TATTTTAGTGTATTATCTTAATTATTGTAAGGGAAACAGGTCAATTTAGCTCAAAGGGAATCATTTAAGATTTTAAAGGGAATTTGGACAGAATCACTGTTTTACGGCTGATCACTGAGATTGTAATGCAAACAGTTTTACCATTTACTGCATGTTGATATTTTTCCTCATTATTTCCCTATTGCGGTTAATGAACCGGAAGTCTCGCCCATAGGCTTACTTCTGCATTTAGGAATAAGGTGGATATGTATCTACCCAGGTAAACATTTCATTTGTCATCAGAGAACTCACTGGTAAACTTTAATTTCTCACTTTTTGTTTGACAAAATAGTAACTAGTCTCTCTGACTCGTTCAATGTTGCGTTTTTACAGTTTTGTAAAATCAGTATGTTTTATTTTTCAATTCATGTTATGAAACATTTTATTTATAATTTCTTTATTGTCTCATGACATCAAGAGCTAAGCCAGAGCAGCTTAGAGTGGCATGGTTAAATGGAAATTTCAGAAAAATTCAGATACTGTCACATTTCAATTTTTCAGCTGTTAGATACAGTGACAACCCACATACAGACTGGCAAGAAACCTTATATTGATAAAGACAAAGCAGAATTATGGATTGCTGTATATTTATAGCAATTATTAATATAGGTTAACATAAATTTCCTATTGTTTATAGCTAATTCCTATACATTTATTTTATAAATTCAGTTTATAAAACTAGACATGTTAAAAAACCATTTGTATATGTAGATATCTTCATCTTGATTTTAAAAATGCTATGAAAATGTTGGTTGTTGTTAATTTTGCACCTTACAGTACTTACAGTAAGATTTTTGCACAGAATAGTAAATAGCATACGTTTAGAACAACATGAGTAAATAATACGAGAGTAAATTATGACAGAAGTGTCATTTTTGGGTGAACTACTCCTTTAACCCTTAGGTGCTGCATTTTCCTCATAGAGTTTGAAAACTTTTTTTTAATTGTCGAGACTTTTAAATAATAAATTGAACAGTTTTGTTATGTACCATAATCATATGTTCCCTCATAAATTCATTCATAAATAAATTCCTAAATGTATTTTATTTTGATGTACAGTGCAATGTTTATTATATTCTTTACAAGTATGTACGTGTCATTCTAGCAATATAAAAAAAGAGAGGGTCTGATAGAGACGAGATAGAGGGAATAAGAAAGAAGCTCAGGCAAAGTATTAGCTAGAGAAGGTTTATTATTCTCTGCAGCACTCAATCAAACATTGGCCCTATGAACAGAGAGTAATGCTAGAGAATCAACCTCAGGGCTTCTGTCTGTCTCTCTCTCTCTGTCTCTCTGTCTCGCTCTCTCTCTTTTATTCCTTACAGTGTGTGAGTGGTATCCATCTGTCAACTGTCAGTGCCAGTGAGAGATATCCAGAGCTGTCACATCTTGTCAGCTCTCTGAGCTGATGCCTTTTGCAGCTGCCTGGCCAACACACACACACACCGTCCCCAATGATGGCCAGCATGCAGGCGCACTAAATGGGGAAATAATGTGGCTGAAAGAAAAAAAGCAGATAAAAGCCGCATAAAAAAAATCATGAGCCGGAAGAGGGATGGAGGGATGGCAGGAGCAGACAGATTGTACAGAGGGACGATGAGTCAGATCCAGGCTGTAGAACTCTGTGGATGAGAGACTGAGTTGGAGAACCATCAAAGTGCCGTGGACGGGGGGTTAGACGAGGGGCAGTGGGCATCCGGGCAGCGTGAGGAGGATTAACACAGAGAAAAGCTCAGAGATGGCTGTTTCAATGGCCATGAGATGAAAGGGATGAGTAGATGTATAACGGATATATAGCCTGTCCCTCTTCAACACGCATTGGTTGTCCGTTTCTCCTTCAGTCTGCAGATTAATGTTCTCGATAGAGTTTCAAAGACCCATGTGACTTTGGCGTTAGTTTGAATGGCTGTTAAATGGCTTGATGTAGCTATTTGGCTCTAGTCCCAGCTCTTAAAAATGATCTCCTTCTCCTTGTCTACTTTCAATCATTAGTGAAGATCTTCATAAGGTCTGGATGAATAAAAGCAAGACAGCTTCGGATCCTTCAAAACCACTGTCGTTTTCCAGCGTCTAAAGACGAGGGAGGAAAGGATCTTTTTGAAGTTTGGAAAAGCGCCAGTTGAGTGTTGAGAGATCAGAGCAGGACATTCCCGCCTGACTTCCTGTCTTGATTTCACTCAACAGGAAGCAAGAAGTCAGGTGTGGCGGAGGGAAACAAAGCTACAGCTTATGTTTAAGACATCCATCTCTGGGGCCAGATTTGAAGGATTAGTTCACCCAAAAATTAACATCCTGACAAGATTTACTCACCCTTATGTTGGACTGAACCTGCATGCTGTTTTTTTTCCATGTTAAATAGAAAGTTGCTTGTCTAGATTCTTCAAGTGGAACAACATGATGATAGCATGTTGATTTTGAGGTAAACTCTCTGATATTGAAAGACTAAAGACTATTGAATGTCTTCCCTATCTGACACAACATAATGATGAGAAGTACTGTGTTAGTGCAGAAAATGGGCACGTGTGAGAAAGAGAGATAATTAAAGATTGAGAGATGTTGTTGATGTATATGTGAATTTTGTGGCACTTGACAGTTTCCACATTTGCATCTGTTGCATCTGACAGTTTCCACATTTGCATCTGGAAACTTTACCTCAGTAAAACTGATCTTCACCACTCAGAGTAAGGTGTGTGTTTCTTACACTGGCAAATGTGCGGTTGTACTTGATATTAAGGGATTAGTTCACCCTAAAATTCAATTCAATTAAAGTTTATTTGTATAGCGTTTTTCACGATACAAATCGCTGCAAAGCAGCTTTACAGAAAATTAAGTTTCTACAATATATTTAGTAGTAGCTTATCAGTGGTGACTGTCAATTTGATGTACATATGGCAGAAATGTACCTTAAAATTCAGTTAATGACATAATCAAACAGACGATGGACACTATTAACATCAATTATTATATGTTGCAATCAAACTTGTAGCAAAATTTGGTAGTTTATGTTGTTTCAGGGTTGGCATCATCTGAGGTCCTCTAAGGGGTTTGCATCATCTCTTCTCAGGTGTTCGGTATCTCAGGTCTTTGTAAGGGCTGGATCCAGACTGAAGCTTGTGTAATTCCTAGTTACCGTGGCAGAAACAGAGAAACAAATAGAGACATAATTAGTGTAGCTGCTGTTCCAACCGAGCAAAAATTATTTGTTCAACCCAAGCTAAGAAATAATAATGTGCATTTGATCAGATATAACTGTAGTACAAGATTAGTAATATGATCATAAAATTCAAGTACTGTCATCATTAACTCACCTATTTATCTATCATATGGCTTCAGAAGATTGTAATATATGTATGCATAACTTTCATGGCGCTTCTCTTTTTCGGTGCTTAAGAATTGAAAATTACCTCAAACAAATGGCTTTTCCTTTTGTGATCCACATAAACAGGTGAGTCATTTTTTTTAACAATTGTGAGAATTAGAGTTTGTTGGTGAAATCATGTGTAATTGTGCATATTTTCTTACAGGTTCACTACCTTTACGGTGCTTTTTTCCTTTTTGGTGTTTGCTATTTAAAACCGCTATCCACTTTCATTGTATGTAAATGCAAAAACAGCAGCTCAGACATTTTGCTAAATTTCTCCTTTTATTCTCCACGGACGGTTTGGACGCCACGGTGAGTAAACTTCAGTTTTGAGTGAACTATACCTTTAAAGGGGTCATATGATGTGATTTAAAATTTTTCCTTTCTCTTTGGAGTGTTACAAGCTCTTCGTGCATAAAGAAGATCTGTAAAGTTGCAAAGACGCCGGCCGCGTCGTTCTCAAGCCCACCCGCTTCTGCTCACTCAAGCCGGCCTCCGCTCACTCTAGGCCGCGGCTTACTCTAGGCCTCCGGCCTCCGCTCACTCAAGGCCGTGGTGTGTGACGCTGTTTCGTTGTGAAAGCGAAACTACTTTGTTTGGCCTTCCAAAAGAGGACACGACTAGAAATCAGTGGTTAAGTTGTATTTACAACACTGTTCCAGAACAGTTCAACCCAAATATTCAGATGTGTCCAGCGCATTTTATGGAGGACTGTTTCCTGATCCTGGTATAGTAGACTACAATGCCGGCTGTTCTGACTCACAGACTGTAAGTACGTTTTTTATATTTAAAGAATTTGCCACTGACGATTCAAACGCGAGTTTTTTGGGCAGTGTAGAGTAGCGTTTGTAGTTTGTCATTTCTCCGATCACAAATGCAGACATGGTGTTATGTTTACGCGGCGCGATGCAACGCAACGTGTAAAAAGACAGTATAAGTCATTATAATCCGTAATTATGTCCCCACTGGATGCAACAAATGCCTCGTTTATAATGGGTTTTAATGTTTTTGTTTCGTCGCTCCGGCCGGACAGGGCATCACAATATGGTAAGGGGCGTAACATTTTCGTCACACGCTTGAGGTATTCGGCCAATGGATAGCTGGCCAATCAGAGCATACCTCGCTTTTTCAGACCGATGAGCTTTGTAAAAATCGACGCGTTTCATAAAGGCGGGGCATAGAGGAGAAACAATAATGTACAGTATGTGGAAAATAATGTGTTTTTTTAACCTTATACCGCATAAACACATTTCATTACACCAAATACACAAAATAATGTTCTTTTTAGCAACATCATATTACCTTTGAGGTTTCTGAAGATTAAACATGATGTTTTGTGGTTTTCTAAATTAAAAAGTAATTATTTTAACAATTGAGAGAATTAGAAAGTAGTAAAGATGTTGTTTGTGTGGTTTGTAGGTGGAATAATGTTTTTTTACAGGTTCGCAACTTTTATGGTGCTTTTTTTCTTTTTTCGGTGTTTGACAAAATCGCCATCTTTCATTGTATGTTTTCACTTTCATTGTATGTAAATAAAAATCAGCAGCTCAGATGTTCTGCACAATTTCCCCTTTTGTGCTCCACAGAAAAAAAAAAGAAAAAAAAAGTCATACAGGTTAACATTGACATTAGGGTAAGTAAATAATGACAGTATTTTAATTTTTAATTGAGCTATGGACCTTTTTATTTCCGGGGTTCTCAGCAGCGGAAGTCATCATAGCTGGGTTTACTTGAAGAGCAGTGAATGGGAGAGTACCACAAATATATTTTTTTAATTGTAATATGCTGTTTTCATGACTTTCAAAAAAAAGGGAAAAAATTGAGAGAGGCTAGTAACGGCAGTCAGAAGACAGAACTAAATTTACCCATTCCCTCCCATAGATGCTGCATTAGAAACACCCTCGCATTAGCGTTAACTCGTTTTTTTTGTAATTTGATGCAAAGGTGATATAATACAAAGTATAGTGTTATAATTGTACATACATTTAAAAAAAAAATCAAAACATTAAAAACTTTTGAGAATTTACGATGCTGATGACCGCTAAACGCGTCATCACAGTCTTGTGAAAAGGGTCAATCCTTAGAGTTTCTTAAGATTAAACATTGTTTTGTTAAAGTTAAAGCCAAAAAGTCCACACAAAATTAGTAAAGCTGTTGTTAATGGGTTTTGTAGATGGAATAATGTGTGATTGTGTACATAGTTTTTTTTTTACAGGTTCACTACATTTATAGTGCTTTTTTTTTTTTGTGCCTGACATTTAAAATCACCATCCACTTTCAACAGCAGCTCAGATGTTCTGCAAAAATTCTCCTTGTGTTCCCCAAAAGAAAAAAGGTGAGTAAATAATGACAGGTATTTTCATCTTTGAGTGAACTTATACCTTTAAGGTTTCTGAAGATTTAACATGATGTTTTTTGAGAGTTAGAAAGTCTGCAAGAAAGTAGTGTAGAAGTTGTTTGTGTAGTTTGTATGCGGAATAATGTGTGATTGTGCACATTTTCTTGCAGGTTCACACACACGCACCAGGAGGGATCTGAAGCCCACGCGACACAGACACCTCAACCAAATGTAAAACAAACGCACTCGATTTCACTCTTCAAACAGACGTTCACCACCTTCAAAGCCTTACGACGAAAGCGGAGCGGAACGCTCCAAACCAGGCAACAAACAACTCGTTTATACATTCTCCTAATTCCTCTCCGACGGGCCTCGATGTCTTTCTTCAGCAACAGACTGTTGGGGATCACGGCTTCAACGTTGCGGTTTTAAGACAGTCGTCTTCCCTCCCCGCTCCTCCGTATCTCTGTGATAAACGCCGGAGCAAATTCAAAGCCAAACAAACACGGATTCAAAGAAAGATTTTTGTGGCAACTTAAGGAAAGCGCATGTTCGTGACAACGTGTCGCCGGAGAGTTTGTTCAGTCGGTGCTCGCTCAGATAGACCCTGGCTGCTCATCCTGAGCAGGGAAGTGCATTTGCTTGCTTATCATTAAAAAAATAGAGATTATGTCTTCAGAAGTCAGAGGGGATATTTATCAGACTCGCAGTTGGAGATGTGATGGCGTGTCTCTTCTAATAGAACAGTCTCAAGGCTCTGGGCCTGTGTGCGCAGGTTATGATCCCATGAGAAGTGAATAAGTAAAGCGCTGACTGATCACATGTATTTACTTCATGCTTGCCTTTTGTCCTGTAATGAATATCAATGAATGAAGCGGCGAATGTGGATGGGTAACGTATGCTATTGGATGGCATACGTATTAATGCAACGTAAAGTGGCGCAGACTATATGACACAAGAGATAAGACTTTTTATCATTTACATTTAGGCCTACCATTATAAACCATAGTTCATAAGAAAATAAAACAGTAAATTCATAATAAACTACTAAAGGATATCTTTCAGCAAGCTGAAAAAAGCTGCTTTGCTGGTCTTAGCTGGTTTGAACTGGTCTTACAGCCTGCAGTAAAACTGGCTTAAAGTTTCTTAAAGCAGGGTTTGTTGAAACCTTTTCAACATTCGCCTGTTTGCAATCCATTTTACTTCAGTAACTGACATATTTATGAGTAAAAATCATATTCACTGAGAACAAATGGAGGCAGGATATTTTATCGTCTGGGATTTGTGACGTGAGCTAAAACCGAAAGTCATTTAAACCAATTAGGCTACTACATTTGGAGAATGTTTGAAATTTTGATTTTAATATATAGGCCTACTGATGAATCATACACCGTAAAACCAGGAACGTTTTAATAATAAATGCTGATACCATGGTGATTTTTCTTTACCATGGTATAGGAATTGTTTGGGGCTAAATTTAAGATCACATGTTTGTGAATGAGAAATGAATTTATAATGATGTAATCAAAGTTAGGAAGATTTACAACGATTCCTTTTTTATTACAAGCTGCGTTCTCTTGCAGACTAGACTGTGAAAGCACCATAAATCACTCTATTTTTATAGGTGTATATATTTATTTTATTTCCACGACATACTTTTACTACTGCTTGCTCAAACTTCGTACAAAACAAAAGGAAAAACAACATGACCTGTTATCAGTTTTCATTCAAAATCCCATACCTGTCTGAAAGCAATTGTTCAGACAGGAAAGAAAAGCTCACAAAGACGGAGAGGAGGGAGCGCCGCAGGAAAGTTCCACATGCAATCTTTTTTGTTTGTTTGCGAGTGTAAACGCAGTTGTGATGAAATATTGATGCTCCCTTCCAAACTGTCTTGTAAGTCGTCTCCGTTCTTTCAGGCTTTCCATCTGTAGCACCTGAGGAAGAGGACGGGAACGCCGGGCTGTCAGGAGAGATGAGCTCACGCTCTCTGAGGCAGGCTGGCAAATGCGACACATCCCCTTCAAGAGCAGACACAAGAGCAAACTTCCGCTACTCCTCGATCTTTGTCTCTTTCTCTATCTGTGTCGTTATCTTTCTTTCTTTATCTGTTCTTCTCCTTTGCACTTTCTATTCGAATTGTAGGACAGTAGCTATGGCAGACTTGTGCATCATGACTTATGGAATCAGAGGTGTCCTTCATTTGTAGGTAATGAACATTTTTTATGGAAGTGATTGATCAAAAACAGTTCACCTTGCTCATTAAGGCACAAACAGTTTTATGGGAGCAGGGCATTATGCCCGGGGTTTTTTTTTTTTTTTTGAGGAAGCACTAGTGCCAGTTCTATCTTATTTGGTGCACGAGTTGACATAAGACCAAAGAGTAGAAAACACCAGATTTTATATATACACCAAGGTAACATTTTCATTTAGTTTAATGATGTACTAAAATAAACTGAAATAAAAATTCATTAAAAAACTATATAGACATATTTAAAAAACTAATAAAAATGACAAAAACAACAAAATCACTAAAACTTTAAGTAAAATTAAAATGAAAACTAAAATGTAAAAAAAATCTAGTGCAAAATATTAATAAAAATCTTGGTGATACTAATATAGCATTATATTATATTATGGATGTTCAGGTATATTATTGTTACTATTAATATTTTGCTTCACTGTAAACAGTCTTAAAGGGGTCATATGATGCGATTTCAATATTTCCTTTCTCTTTGGAGTGTTACAAGCTCTTGGTGCATAACGAAGATCTGTAAAGTTGCAAAGACTAAAGTCTAAAATCCAAAGAGATATTCTTTATGAAAGTTAAGACTTGTCCATGTCTACGTCACTGTGTGGGAAGATTTGCATAACACCGCCCAAATGTTCACGCGAAGAAAGAAGGCGTAACTTTTATTCTCGCTGTAGTATTGTTGTTGCCGCTGCCGCCATGTTGTGGAGATGCTGTGTGTTTCGTTGTGAAAGCGAAACTACTTTGTTTGGCCTTCCAAAAGAGGATGATATCTGCTTCTTCATGCCTAGAGCTGATCCATGCTGGTCGCTGAGGAAATACATCAACTTCGCGCAGTGGTTCGCTGGATCGGCTTTCACCGTGGATGAAGCGGAGTCCAGCCCGGGGTCGTCACATGTGGCTGCCGCAAGCCCGCTGGACGCTCCTTCGTCGAATCCGCCAGCCGCGACGTTCTCAAGTCCGCCGGCCG